ATAATGAGCTCTCCATCTTTTACACCATAGTCTTTGAGAGTCTTCTTATCATCAGTGAGTGGTTGTGCATTGAAAACAACCATCATCTCTCCAGCTGGAATTCCTACCTGCAATATAAGACTTAGCTTTAACTACACTTGTCAAAATCATTTAAGAAAAGGACAGATCTCTTCTCTCCAATACTGGGTCTTTTCTAATGAAGAGATCAATTTTGGGCCTTGACTGTTCCTCTTACATTAATTATTCATGCTAGTACAAATCCCAGTAGGTATAGTTTCCATTATTTTCCCTTAGTATTTCAATTTGATCATAAAACCCTTTTGTTTTCCCATCAATATCATATTTATTGAGATATTAATCTTCATTAGGTAATTTTCCAGAACAGGACTGCATCAAGAAAGGACAACCCATATAAAGAACACACAAAACACTACTATTTAGTATTAAACATCATCTACATCAAGTTAATACAATTCACAATTGCTCATAACCTGGCACTTCATAATCTGGCAACTGTCAACAAACATCAACCACAATTTAAAACTTGCACACCTCTCTGACAGTGAAGTGTAATGCTTGGAGTAAATCCAAGCTTGGTCTTACCAGAATATATGATGGCCTTTGCTGGCAAAACATTGAGGCCATGGCATTACTGCCTGGTGTGATACCATTTTGGATAGTTACACTTTGCTGTACCACAATAAATATCCTTTTCAGCTTAGGTATTTCTTTTCAGAAAAATAACATTAATGATTAACCAATGATGATGATGAGGATGACAATTAATAATGATAAGGATGATCTGAACAACAACAAGTGCTACTCTTAAGAACATAATGCTAATGATAAAAACATTGGAAAATATTCAGTATTTTCATATTACAAGTCAACAATACCCTCTTTGAAAAACCCTCTTTGGACAACTGAGGAAACATCCATTCATTGTAACATTAAATTATCTAATTATCAGATTATCTACAAGGACAATCAATTGAGCGACTTAGGAAATACTTCTGGTAATGTTCAACATTTTTTTTTTCAGCTGCATCTCCCCAAACCCACATCTATTACCCCAGTCCCTTGTACTCATTCCTCCCCCTTTATACTACCCTTTAGCCTTCCTGAATCAATCATATGACTGCCTCCTAATGCTCCATGTTTTGGGCACTCTAGTCATAATTGGCCAGGTATTTTTCTAAATCATATATCACTAAGGAAGAGTATAAAATCTACCTTGTCCAAATATAGGTAGTTGCATTTCCTGGCTTTGGCAGAGTACCAAAAATGTAGAGTAGGCCTTTTTCATAAAACTTTTTTACTTTGAGCCCAGCAACCAAAACCTGCTTTAAAACTAAGTAGAATTAATTAAACTAATCTTTATGTCAGCAAGTAAAGAACAAAAGACAATAATAACATGCTACACTGTTTGAATTCTGATTGATAATATATGGTAAGTACAGCTTGTAAATGCACTAAACTAATACCTTAATATTTTTTTTGCCTTCAAATTGACCTTCTATAGTTAGGTCTAGAGGTCTTTTTATCTAAACAATTGATTGCAGATTAGATTTTGAAAAAAAAAAAATCTATATGCTGAACAATGCACTCTGCAGTATTCGTAATGGTTGTTAATACAATTTATGCACTATTTCCTATTATGTTATGAAATTTTGCATGCTTTGATAACACTTACACACTCACTTGAAAGTTTGATAAGCCTTGGTAAAAATTCTGCAGTCAGTTTTGGCTGTTAAGAGTGTGTTTTGAATAAGCTTGGTTAATGTTTTTGTTATAATGCCGATGCAGAGACCAGTAGCAATTGCATGAATGTGGTGCAAAGATCAGCAGTAGTTGCATGGGTGTCTTGTATGCATTTACCTACTTCCCTTCAGTAGATTAATCTATGAGGCATGTAATATTCCTTATTTCATTAACAGGCACAATTCACTATATCTGAATATTTTCTCACTATCTCTTCACAAGCAATTAATATTACAAGCAGCAACAAAAAATCAACCCAGCAAAGCATGTAGGAAAATAGGAAATACTACCTAAAGTCCTAACAGGAAATGGTAATAATTGGCAATCATAAAACTTAGGCTTTGTACACACAAACAGAAATGTCAAATTCCTGAGAAATAACTCCCCTTAAATTTTCCTAAGATTTAAAAGAAAAAAACACCATAAAATTAAGGGGAAATATCACCCTCTCCCTCTACATATACCTCATACAACACACTCACCCCCCAAACAAAGGAACCCCCCCAAAAAAACTAGAATAAAACCATATGACAAACAACAACATCAACAAAAAAAAACTAGAATAAAACATAGCACAAACAACATCAACAAAAAAACAAACTAGAATAAAACATAGCACAAACAACACCAACATCAACACCAAAGTAAAGAGAAAGTTAAAGTCCTCTACCTCCATCTCACACAAGGCTTTGAAATTCTCCAGCTCCAGATCCTGAGCCACCTCCAGCGGGTATATCTCATTCTCGGTCGTCACGGAAATCCTCATGGTCGGCCACAGAACGAAGAACGAAGAGGAGACCAAAAGAACGGGAACGGCCACAGAACGAAGACCTGTGGCGTGAACCAAGAACGAAGAGAGAGAGGAGAGACCAAAAGAACGGGAGCTGCGCGATCCTCACTCTCTCCCTCGGTCCTCGACACTGAAGCTCGGCGACGTTTGTTTACGTTTTTTATCAAGTCGACGGTTGGGCGGCGAAGGAGGGGGGGAGGAGGGGGAAGGGGAGCAGGAGGAAGTCGACGGTTGGGCGGTGAGGGGGGGGGGCAAGGAGGGGGAAGGGAAAGTTGGTGGAAGGGAAACTGGGCAGCTGCGAGGGTGATGCTCTCAGCTGGGGAGAGTGTGGTGATGAGGTGATGCTCAGCTGGGGAGCGTGTGGTGATGAGGTGATGCTCAGCTGGGGAGCGTGTGGTGATGAGGTGGTGATCAGCTGGGGAGTGTGTGGTGATGAAGTGGTGATCAGCTGGGGAGCGTGTGGTGATGAGGTGGTGATCAGCTGGGGAGCGTGTGGTGATGAGGTGGTGATCAGCTGGGGAGCGTGTGGTGATGAGGTGGTGATCAGCTGGGGAGCGTGTGGTGATGAGGTGGTGATCAGCTGGGGAGAGTGTGGTGATGAGGTGGTGATCGGCTGGGGAGCGTGTGGTGATGAGGTGGTGATCGGCTGGGGAGCGTGTGGTGATGAGGTGTTGCTCAGCCGGGGAGCGTTTGGTGATGAGGTGTTGATTAGCTGGGGAGAGTGTGATGAGGTGGTGATCGGCTGGGGAGCGTGTGGTGATGAGGTGGTGATCGGCTGGGGAGCGTGTGGTGATGAGGTGGTGATCGGCTGGGGAGCGTGTGGTGATGAGGTGGTGATCGGCTGGGGAGCGTTTGGTGATGAGGTGGTGATCAGCTGGGGAGAGTGTGGTGATGAGGTGGTGTTCAGTTGGGGAGAGTGTGGTGATGAGGTGGTGATCAGCTGGGAAGCGTGTGGTGATGAGGTGGTGTTCAGCTGGGGAGAGTGTGGTGATGAGGTGGTGATCAGCTGGGGAGCGTGTGGTGATGAGGTGGTGTTCAGCTGGGAAGCGTGTGGTGATGAGGTGGTGATCAGCTGGGAAGCGTGTGGTGATGAGGTGGTGTTCAGCTGGGGAGCGTGTGGTAATGAGGTGATGCTCAGCTGGGGAGCGTGTGGTGATGAGGTGGTGTCCAGCTGGGGAGCGTGTGGTGATGAGGTGGTGATCAGCTGGGAAGCGTGTGGTGATGAGGTGATGCTCAGCTGGGGAGCGTGTGGTGATGAAGTGATGCTTAGCTGGGGAGCGTGTGGTGATGAGGTGATGCTCAGCTGGGGAGCGTGTGGTGATGAAGTGATGCTTAGCTGGGGAGCGTATGGTGGCGATAAGGTGATGCTCAGCTGGGGTAAAACTAATCTCCAGTGTTTTACGATGAGGCGCTGAGTCTCTGCCGTGAACACAGCACCCCCTCGGCTTTCTGTGGTGATGAGGTGGTGATCAGCTGAGGAGCGTTTGGTGATGAGGTGATGCTCAGCTGGGGAGCGTGTGGTGATGTGATGCTCAGCTAGGGAGCGTGTGATGGTGATCATGTGTGGTGATGAGGTGTGTGCTGGTCATATGTGGTGATGATATGGTGGTCATGAGTGGTGATGCTGAGATGATTATGAGTGATGATGGTAGTGGTGAGTGTGATTATAAGAGGTGATGGTGATGAAGAGTGTAGTCATGTATGAAGATGGTGATTCTACTGTGTGGTGTGGTGATAGTGAGGATGATCGTAGTAATAATAATAACGATAATCATAATAATAATGATAAAAATAACAATAATATGGTGATGATGATAAGAAGAAAAAACAGTATGATGATGATGATGAAGGTGAGGATGATCATGATGATAATGAAAATTAGATAATAAAGAAAGTGATAATAATAATGTTGATAACGATAATAACAGTTATTGTTTTCATTATTGTTATAATAATTATTATTACTATTATTATCATTCTTATAACAATACTATTGATGATAATAATGAAAGTAATTATGGTGATGATAACAGTAAAACAATGATACAGTTTGTTTCGTAAATCTGCTGCCTAGCAACACTGGCATATGAATATTTAATTGACGTACGATGTTTATGGTTTGACCGATACCGATGCTTCTTAAGGAGCTAATGATGAATCTTATGTTGTTATCTTTTTCTTTCTACAATGATACTTAATTACGAATGGCCCGAAATGGGTGTCGCCTTTCAGTAATAATCCTTGATGATCAATCAGCTCAATCTTATAAGCTATTATTTTGATTACATATTACGCAGACTAATCAAATATTCATTTAATTTCATTCTGCACAGTATAGTAGCAAAATATTGGTATTAGCTTTACTGTGCCAAAAATACTAATATTATTTGGCCGATGGTTGGTATTTGCAAGGTTTCCCGTACAAGTAGCCGTTTTCTGTAATAAAATT